TCATATTATGAGATCATTTAGCACATAACTCTAACAACAATATTACAATAATATCCTCTTCTTACATCAAAGACAATTCAATCTCCTTAAATTCATTAATTCAACGAAGATCGATATTTCCTTGTTTCGAGTTAGAAAAAAAATCCTTTTTTATACTCCTATACAAAATTCAACTACATATAGAAGATTCTCAATATTTTTCCACAGTAATAAATTTCCTGCTAATACAATTAAAAACCTTGGAAATAATAAAAACTATCGATGAAGGGTTTTTTTGCAGAACAGCATTTTTGTCCTTTTGGGGATCGATGAAGAAATCGCAGAAATTTGAAGTTCTTCGAATGATTATTACATGACCGACGTCGCCGTCAGACATTCGTAGGCAACGGCGTAATGCTCTAAAGAGATTTTGTACGACTTCATCTTGCTATTCGAATTATTCGAAAGCGGTTCAGCACTCAAAGAGATCTAGGGATCAACTTGGTACTAGAACAGGGATAACGCAACGTTAATCTCTAAACTTATCCCCGGGGTTTCAGACTCTCCCCTCTATCCCCCAACCTCCACCCTCCCATCCCTCAGCATGATATTACTTAGGAATCATTGTGACGTGTACGTAGCGTAGCTCTCGCTCTTGTGCTTCGCGTCTAGGCTTACAGAGGTCGAAGCCAAACAAGCATAGCTGATTCGATGTCTACAAAGGAGATAATAATTAATATCGCCGTGCACGAAGCACGGTTATTCAGCGAGATTTCTTGTTTTTCCATGTACTGTCTCGAGCGTCGGGTCGTTAGCCATTCGGATCCCTGGAATTATCTGATAATAAGTGAAACCAATCGATTCCCAATATTAATTAATATTGACCCTGCCCCAAGGACCGAGCCAAATAAGGACTATTGAGCAGCGATCGCTTCAGACGTATATTGAGCTCTCGGCAAAATTTCGTTTAATTGAAATAGTTAGAGCGTTTACGTCGACTCGTGTTGTAGGAATTAAAATAATTCGATATGGAGTTTTCAGTGGAACAGAACCGATCTGCAATTCATGAAAAATATTTCAATCCCGTTGATAGCATAGAATCGTTTTCTCTATCTTACAATCACTAGGCGTCACTAAAAGTAACTGACGCGTATTGTTCTATAAGAATGATAACGCCGAATTTATTTAGACTTTTCGTCGTTTTTATTGTTATGTATGCACGAATTGAGAAATCTATTCAATCGTTTCCTATGGAAGAGTTATTATTAGATTGATGCCTATGAAATGCCGGATTTTTAAATTAATATATAAAACTGCATATCTTTTTTCAAAAGCTGTTTATTTAATCAAAATATGCTTCGTTCGCTTGAATACATTTTTCCCAACGAGATTTTAATGCACAGATGCCGGTCTTAAAGAAATTCCGATCTTTAGAATCGATAAACTCTGATACGGAATTTTTCAGATTGTCTTCATTTTCATTCTGTTTGACCCGTAAAAACTGTTCCAAATGTTTAAAAGAATGAAAGTCGGTTGGCGGAAGATCCGGCGAATAAGCTGGCTGCTGCAAAATTTCATATTTTAATTCATTTAATCTCGCAATTGTTTTGTACGACGTGTGCGGCCGAGCGTTGTCGCGGTGAAGTATCGGGCCACGCCGATTAACAAGCGATGGGCGTATAATTTTTAATTTTTCATGAATTTTATCGATGTACCGGCAGTACCTTTCGACTGTAATTGTCTCCCCGGTTCGAATGAACGAGTAGCGAATTACTCCGGTCACATTCGTTTCCACCGATGCTTTCGGAGCATCATTTTTCACGGACGTTTTGGATCTTCCACGCGGTTCATTTTGTAGGAAAAAATCACCGGACCGAAAATTTTCGAACCAACGCTGCACTTTTCGATCGTTAATTCTCCCCGAACGCCTGGTTTATATCGCGCGCAGCTTTCGCAGCATTATTACCAAGTTTATACTCATCAAAACAAATTACACGAATATCGGTTGAATTCATATCCTTACGAAATTCGAAACGAATAACAAAATGGATCACTTTCGAGAAAATCTTCTTCGTTGAAATGTGACTCTGGCAATGGACGATGCGACTATAAACGAGGTTACGCCGAAAACAAAAGCATAACGAAAACAGGGTGACAAACGTTCGCATGTAAAGACATTTCATATGCGCCAACCTAATATAATATCAACGATTGTGAAATATCAAAAAAAAAGTGAAATTGTTCGAAATATCGCGTACGGTAAGCATAGCGATAAATATTCAAATATTTTGCACGTGAACGCTTGACAATGGAGCCACCAAAGATGAAAGTTCGTGAAGAGGCGAGCGATCAAGAGCCGGTTGAGAAACGCAGTTTCTAATCATCGCGAATAGTCACGGTTTAAAGGGTACCGGTAAAACGATTTCAACGGTCTGAAGTAAGACAGGGCGTTTCGTGGAACGCGCGGCAGCCCCATTAAGCCGTTCGAGAAGAATTACCAATCAACGCGCGAGCGCGGAGTGTCAACAGATCGGTATCGAAGGGTGGCAAACCGTGTCCAGAGTAACCGTGGAACCGTTCTGTTCCTTTTATTTCGCGGGAGTGTCGCCGGCAAATCTTATTTAAGGCAGATTTATCGCCGGCCCAGCCTTGAGAGATCGAGCTAGGATATTACGCTAGACCCGGATGCGCCATTCACAATGCGACTCCTCGACTCAAAAAGTGTCATAACTCAAAAGCCGAGCGCCTCTTCGAGCACTTCCGCCGCTCCAGCACATCGTGTGCCAGAATACCGTCCTCCCCCTCGGCCCCCCTTGGCTCGTTTCTACGGCCGCGGTAACCGTTTCCCGTTGCCGAATCGACCCCCCCCCCCACTCCGGGTGGGGGGATCTCAACAGTTTTTGTTAATAACAGGATGGTATCAAAAATTCCCCGAATGATCTTTCTTCCGCGGCACTAACGCCTCGACGATTGGATTTCTTGGCGCGCGGGAGACGTCGAAGATCGAACGCGATCGCTTTTTGTTGATCGCCGACCTGGAAACTGATCGGGGAGTATTATTAAACGTCATTCCGCCATCGGGGACTATCCGAGAACCCGGATCCGTTGGCGTTACTCGTTCAGAATGTTCAACTTATTGCGCGCGCGCGCGCCTTTGTTTGATTTGCGGTCAATTCTGCTAGAGCGGTATTAGTTTAGGTATTTAGCACAGATGGAGTGCGGTTAAATTCTCTCTAATTTTCCTTGATGATCGTGTATCCGCTTCCCAAATTGTCTATTTTTGTTTACAAGCTGAGGGAAAATTGGGAAGAATTTATTGTAGATTTTTATGTAAAGTGAAATTTGTATGTATCAGTTGCTAAAAATAGAAACTAAAAAGCACGTTTCTCTTCTCAGCTCCTCTTTGACAAGATTTTTATCGCATTCTTCGAAAGGATAAATAATATAAATATATAAGTACGAAAGCTAGTGACACCGTACAAAAAAATGTATAAATTTCATATAAGAAGCATCAGGTTAAATGCTTAATATAATGCTATATATAGATATAGGAATTATTATATTTATATAAAAATTGTATATATAATAAAATTATAATATATATTATTATTATAACAATATAATATATAATATAATTATAATAATATATATTATAATTATAACAATATAATATATAATATAATTATAATAATATGTATTATAATTATAACAATATAATATATAATATAATTATAATAATAT